CCACTATTGGCAAATATTTGGCACAGTTAGCTCTGATTATTGCGGCTGTGAGCCTAAAGTGGCCCAGAGAAAATATGGCAAATGTGGCCCAGTTATCTTAAAACATATGGGGACCACATAGACTAAAGTCAACATCATGCAGAAAAGTGTTTACTTTAGTTGGGCTCAACTAAAAGCAAGTGAGTGCTTAATAAAATTGAGGCACAAAAAAATAAAGTGAGACACAACCTGTGATGAAATAATATAATTCACTGATGTTAACAGATGTTTAATCCATTATTAGAAATAACGTAATGACATGCATGCACATGCCACAGAATTATGAAGGTTTATAAGCTAAAAAAATTCTGGTTCAACTTATGCTCACGGAGACATCAATAATCAGCGTACTGTATATGAACCTCAACAAGGGTGACAATTAACAAAATGAACAAAACTCACAAACATCACAAAAAGGCACTAAAAGTGACAAAATCAACAACGTCAACATAAACAGTAGAACCAATAGCAAATAATGAAGACTGGAGCATCAGTAATATATACAATGTATTCATACTGCAATGCATGCTGGGATTTTTGTACTTTGCCACACCTAGCAAGTGTAAGGTGTAGGCCAGATCTGGGTCAGAATAAAAGCAAACCTGACCCAGAATAGGGTCAGTTCTGGTTCATTTGGTTGAATTCTGGCTGATATGTGATATTGCTATGGCTTAATTGTGGCCCAGATCTGGCAAACAGGAGCAGACCACCCAAGTGCCTTCATTCCATGCAGTAAGTGGGATGGATGTATGTTGCTTGTTGTGGGCCGGATTTGAGCCACATGAATTTTGCTAGCTGGGTGGAGTTTGGACACCACTGGTCTCTGGGTCATGTAAAGATTTGGTCATCTTCTTAGACATTTTTAAAGCTTTCAAAAGGTGTACTGCATTTATAAATCACTCATGTCTTGAGGTAGTTTAAAATAATCAATGATGAAATTTGATTGGACAGGAGTCACTGGACTGATCAATCTACTTCAGCCAATCACCATAGACAAGAAACAAGAAAGTAGTGCTTTATTTATATTATTGAAAACATGTTTTGTTCAAAGTTTTTGTCTTTGAAAAATAATAGGTTTATCTAGTAAATGCCCCTGCAATTCTAGAATCTGTAATGTAGTCGAAAAATTAACAGAAGACAGTAGATTGACAGTAGAAAACATGAGACATACATGTTTTCAAAACAGCATGTGTGAACCCGCTGTTGTATGATGTGCACGCGTTGTTGACTAAACAGTGAGCATTGCATCTCCCTTGGTTGATTTCAAATGAAGGTCATCACGGCTGTCGTTTATGGAGACGTCTGTATGCGCTTGCTGCTCCTTTCTCAAGTCATCTTAATGCAATGTGTAGCCCGTGGTACAGAGAGACAGTAAGATCTGAACACACAAGGGGCAAATTCTCATAAATGTCAATTTCACAGTTTACGCTCTAATAATGTTCCTGCCTCTGGAGAATAGCAGCGTCTTCTGTGTGTTTTAACCAGCTGATGTCACCAGTCTCGTTTAATTCAGTGCGCCGGCAGAATGCCGCATTAGTAAATGTTGAGCTTTCACTGAAAAAGCAGCGAGGCGCACTGTAATCATGACCTATGGCCACCTAAACATACGCTACGTTGGTTGCCATCATGCCAGTGAAGCGCAAGAGGCTCGTCATTGGGCTTCAGAAAAATAGAGTACATGACTGTGGACAGTACAGCAGCATTACCTTCTGCTCAACTCTCATAATGTACTGTATATGCAAATGTAATGAACAGTTATGCATTTGTATGCATCTCAATTTAATTTATTCTTGTCCTCATATATTTGTAATGCTGTTATTTGTAATGCTAAAACTGTTTGTTTTAGAATATCATTCCAACTATAGTTTTTATTTATTTAATTAGCAAAGGTTATCATTTACAGAACTTATTGAAAATTACAATTTATATTATGTGTCTGATTTCTTTTTCACTGTAAAACCAAAAAAAGTTAAGGTAACTCAAACCATTTGAGGAAACCGACTGCAACAAACCATTTTTATTCAAAAACTAATTCTAATGAGTACTCTGAACTTTGAGTACACGAAGCAATTTGAGCAAAGTAAAACCCAATAAATGAAGAATACTCAAACTAACTCGAGTAGTCAAACTAATATGTCAACTGAATGCAACAAACCATTAAAAAAATAAAAAATCTTTAAAAACGAATCTATATTAGTAAGTCCTGTGAACTAACTCCATCTAAGTTGAAGTAATGAGGTATTTAATTAACTCTTTGCCTTCGACACTGAGTTCAAAACTCTTTTCAAATGAGCTGAATTAACTGTTAGTACATTTTGAGTTACACTCATTTCATTATAATAAAGTTGACTGTTAGGTTTTACAGTCTTGATTTTTTTTTAATTTCTTTTACTCTAACTTGTTTATTTCATTAATCTAATTATTTGTTTATTTATTTAGATCTAAAAAAAATAAATAAAATACTTTCCATTCATTGTCATCAATAGCATGTCCTGTACTAAAAATGCTTATTGCTTCATGTTTTCCCAAAATATAATAGTGTTTTTGAGTTATAAAACAAATAATTTAAAATGTAAACTTGAATTACATTTAAATAGGACATAAGATCATAAGAAAAAGTGTCTTATTTAATAAAAAAATAAGACACTTTTTAGTTTTTGCTTAGTGTCATGTGAGTATCAGAGAACTGTGAACATCCAAGTGCTGTTAAAATTATTCACATATTACACACAACAAACACAGAAATGTCATTTTGGGGTCAATTTTTTATATTATTTTATTTTTTTGTCAGGATCCACAATCAATAAATAGTAAAAAATATAGCATTACGTTTTTAATTAAACAGATATATTTACATTTAAACATTTACATTTAGTCATTTTGCAGACGCTTTTGTCCAAAGCAACATGAAGAGGCAATGCACACAAGAAATGCTTATATTTTTAAGACAAATTGTACCTAAATATGCATACAAATATATATATATATATATATATATATATATATATATATATATATATATATATATATATATATATATATAATAAAACTTAATAAGCCATGCAGAAATCTGTTAAATTGTTCTGATTTATATATTTACAGTTGAAACCAGAAGTTTACATACAGTACACTGTTTAAAAAGGCACATCACCATTTTAAAAAAGTCAGGATTATCAGATTTGTTTCTGTTATGCTTAAAAGCAGAATAATAAGAGAGAGATTTTTTTGCGAAATTGTTATAACTTTTCTTGAAAGTCAAGTTTACATACAATAGGATTATTATGCCTCTGAAAAAGATCAGATTATGGTGTCAAGGTTTTGGGGGTTAGGACGATTCTAAGGGCCCATACATTCAGGGAGAAGAAAGAACATTATGTAGAAATATTGAAGCAACATCTCAAGACATCAGCCAGAAAATTAAAACTTGGCCTCAAATTTCCAAACAGACCATGACCCTAAGCATACTGCCAAATTAGTTAAAATGTGCTAATTAGTTAAAAAGAGCAACCGAGTGAATGTTTTGGAGTGGCCATCACAAAGCCCTGAACTCAGTCCTATAGAAAATTTTAGGGAAGAGTTGAAAAAGCATGGGCGAGCAAGAAAAATCTGCCACAGTTACACCAATTCTGTCAGGAGGAATGGGCCAAAATTCCTTCAAACCATTGTGAGAAGCTTGCGGAAGGATATCCAAAACATTTGAGAGGGTGCTCGCGGCAGAGCCATTTGAGGAGAGCCGAGCTCCAGCGAGGGGGAGCTTCAGCTTGAGCTCCACCTTTTTTGCACTTCTTCTACGAGTGATGTTACTGGGGGTAGGGTTAGGGGTGGAGTTGGTGTACGCATAAAAACAGCTTACAGGAGGAGGAGTGACAGCTCATGCTCCCCCTCGCTGGAGCTCAGCTCTCCTCAAATGGCTCTGCAGCGAGCACCACTTGGAACATTTGACCAAAGTTATACAGTTTAAAAGCAAAGCTAAACAAATACCAAAGAAATGTATGTAAACCTTTGACTTTCTAGAAATTAATTAAAAAATCTCAAAAAAAAAAAAAAACATTATTCTGGCATTTACCAAATGTAAATCATTTAGGTAATCCTAACGGACCTAAAATAGTAAACATTTAGTATGATTTGCCATCAAACATTTTTTTTTTAATTATTATGTTCCTTTTTTAGTGTATGTAAACTTCAGGTTTCAACTGTATATGGACTCAAAACTTTTAGATAAAATATTTCAACAACTTTCATCTTTACTGTTGTAATCTTCAAATATTTTCAATTTCTAATCTACTTTATAACACTGGTTTCTCCCACAGTCCAAAGACGTGGTATCGGTGGATTGAATAAACTGAATTGTCGGTAGTGTATAAGTGTGTGTGTGAATGAGTGTGTATGGATGTTTCCCAGTACTGGGTTGCAGCTTGAAGCATTCGCTGTGTAAAATAAAGGGCGGATAAGTTTTCGTTTCATCCTGCTGTGGCCACACTTGATGAATAAAGCGACTAAGCCTAAGGAAAATAATTGAATGAATGATAATCTCCTTTATACACAAATATTTCATCAATATTCTTACATGTTTGTCTGATGGAGAAATCAGATCTACACCTGTGTTTAAATTTTAATGCTTCATGTTATTAAAGTGTATTGTGGTCTTGGAAAAAAGCTCTAAAAGATTAATTTCAAGCGTCATCAGATCTTTTCTAAAAATATATTTTCAAGGATGTTTAAATGATGTTCGTTTTCTAGGATAATTAATTTGGGACACAGCTTGGGCATGCAATCTGTATAGGGTGCGTCATACAAATGAACCTCAAGAGGAGAACAGCATGAAAGTGTTTGCTCAGACTTCATTCCTCCCTCGACGCTAGTAAAGCTAGTCTCTCTCTCTCTCTCTCTCTCTCTCTCTCTCTCTCTCTCTCTCTCTCTCTCTCTCTCTCTCTCTCTCCCTCTCTCCTCAACTGTGCGGCTTCTGTTAGGGACTCGCGCGACCTGAGCGCGGCGCGCGGGTGGAACAGGACGCGCGCTTCCCTTAATTAACGGAGCGCGAGCCCTGCAGGAATGTCAGAGACGCTGCGTGGGGAAGGCAGGCGATGCATTTTTTTTCTATGAGTTTACGTTGACACCAAAGACGGCGTAACAGATGAAATTTGAGACAGACAGCATCATTTTCAACCTGCTTGTCAATTTGACTACTTTTTATCAGAAAGCGCTTCACTATTCCGTTCACAGTAGAGCTTCACGCGCTGGTTTAAACCTCTTCATATGGAATTATTGGTATTGTTGACTAAATAAAACGCGCTTTTAACACCTCAACAAACATTTCGGTTGTGAAAAGGATTTATGAACCCGAAGGCCAGTTTGAAACATCAAACGTAAGTATTCAACATTCTTAAAACCGAACAGGCTATTGTTTAAATTGTGAATAATGAAGATAACTTTACAGTAATTGTGAGAAAATATCGCGGATATGTTTTATTTTCCAAACGTCTTTTCTCTGTAACACTTTCCATCAATTATTTGCTTGCATTAGTTTAAAAGTAGTTTAACTTGCAAATGAATAACATTTGATCATGCTATTTTACAACAGTAACAGTATGCTAGGTATAGATTGAATTTTTAATTTTCTGGATAAGTATTGATTAAGAAATTAATATATTTTGGAAATTCCGTTAAATAGTGAATACATTGTCTTATCTTGGTCCTAGTACAAGGAAACGTCTTTCAACCCTTGTATGCAAGTCTTCTCTCTTTAAAAACATGGAAACAGTAAATATTAGTAGTGGTAGTAAAAAAAGAAATTAGTAAAAGTATTAATAATTATCATATATTTCATGTTATTATTCAATATATCATGTTATTCTAAAAAAATAATAATAGATCAAAATAAACTGTACATTTAACAATCATCATTGTAGGACAAAACTGTAATAAAATAAATAATAATCAGAATATTTACATTGATTCTTAAAATGTAAAAGAAGTGTTTGCAAGCACATCATTGATGTTTTTTATTGCTCTCTCTCTCTCTCTCTCTCTCTCTCTCTGTGTGTGTGTGTGTGTGTGTTTGTGTGAGTGTGTGTGTGTTTACTCTTCAAAATATTTTATGGATTTTATACTGTGTACTAATATTATTAATTTGAGTTAAAATTAAAATGTACTGTTAATTTGTAATTATAGCATTAAGGATTATAGCTGAAAAAAAAATTATATATATATATATATATATATATATATATATATATATATATATATATATATATATATATATATATATATATATATATTTTTTTTTTTTTTTTTTTTTTTTTTTTTTTTACAGTGAAATTGGTTAACTGTCTGTTATAAATACCTTCTTGTTTTTGTCTTTACGCAGCAGGGATGCTATTGCCAGCATGCAATGAGATCTGAACAAAAGTGAAAATGGCTGATCTGAAAGTCCTCTTCTGTGGTCAAGACGGTGTCCAGACAGATCACCTTGACTGGTCTCTAAAGCACCAGCAAAGTCATCACTCAGTGTGTGCAGATGAAAGGACTGTTTCCAATGAAGAGTGCTGCCAGGCGTATCTGGAGGAGAATGTTAATGAGGCGAACAGGCTTTCAGAACCATGGACAGCGACTTTGCCAATTGGACGACTCTGCAAACTCAATGAATGGGGATTTGATGAAGAAGTCGGGGTATGTTACGACGAGCAGTTTGAAACCGCTTTTCCTGGTGTGGCTGACATTACTGACCATAAAGACTGCCAGTTGTTAGCTGAGGAGACCAACTATGACAACTTCAGTTGGAATTCATCCAAAGATCTCCAAGAGGTTGCCCCAGAATGCTCTCTGCTGTCGGTTGACGATTTCATGGTGGATTCAACGGAAAAGTCCGTGGATTATGGGTTTATAGGAGCAGTAACCTTTTTAGTTACCGGGATTTCCTTGGTTGTCATTTCCTACACAGTCCCACGGGATGTTAAAGTCAATCCTGACACCGTTTCTGCTCGGGAGATGGAGCGTTTGGAGAGAGAGAATGCCCGAGTGGGGGCTCACCTGGACAGGTGTGTGATTGCAGGATTGTGCCTCCTCACTCTCGGAGGTGTGGTACTGTCAACCCTTCTGATGATCTCCATGTATAAAGGAGAGATGATCAGGAGACAAGCATTTGCTTACTCCAAGCACCAAGCCAGACTTTACGGCTCTATAAATTTCAGAAGTGGCACCAGCCCAAGCAATGCTCCTTCACTTTTGTCTCTTGATGATGATGAAGGTCCTGTTGAAGTCTTGAGTTGAAGCCAGCTTTTGTCAGTTCTTATAACATTATAAAAATGGCTTTGCTTAACCGTGATCTTCACTGTGTAACAAGTGTGATATCATGACTTCTAAAAGATGAATCTGGAATATTTCATGGATTTATTACCTTGAGTCATATCAACAATTGTCAGTTTTAAGGATGAAAATGCATGAAAGCCTATCATTCTGACATGGAATTGAGTCTGGTTTGTGTAAACCATATCAGTAATACTTTACCTGAAGGGGTTTTCATAAGACTGTCATGACATTTATAATTATGACATGACAAATTACATGAATATAAATGGTATTTTTTGCATGCTTATGAAAACATTAAGTGTATTTGTTCAGTTATTATTCGAATCGCAATTTGAAATTATGCAATTAGCTAATCTAAGAGGCAGCAATATGAAATATATATGTATTATATAATTTCCCCCACTCAGATCAAATGTGTGACTGGCGTCTGTGTGTGACAGTCTCACTATCCAATTCAGTGAGTACACTTTTGTTCTGCCCAATCAGACATGCATAACCGAACTATGCGAAAAGCCCACAACAAAACAAACAAATATGGAAAGTACAGACAAGTGGGATGTTGGTGTCTGATGCTTTAGAAACATTAATAGACTAATTCATGTCAAAGAATAACAGCATGTCTGAATTATGGGAACATTTTCTTTTTAAAGTCACAGACACAGAATAAAAACAGGTCATTTGTAAGAGCTGTCTCAGAATTGTTGCTACAGCACCAGGAAATACAACAACCAACACATAAAAAATACCACAGGCAGCTATTTGGGGAGCATCTTGCTAAAAAGTAAACTAAAAGTATTGCTAATGACACTCAATTTAGTAGCTAGCAACAGCAAACTTTGAAAAAAACATCATTAAGGCACCAGAAGATAACTAGTGTCATAATTTCTGGATATGTATTAACAAATTTAAATAGAAGTTATTTAATATCTTTTCCGCTCCTTTTTTAACTAACACTCATTGCATTTTAGCAATAAGATGCTACGATACAGATAATTGAGTTGATGCTTCACTACAAAATTAAATTGCAAATCAAATCGAAATCACAACATATGTTAACAAAAAGGCAATTAGATATTTTCCATAAAAATCGCACAGCCCTATCAGTTATGTCAATGTGAATGCAGAGTTGTATTAGGATAACTTGATAAACAAATCTACAACAGCTCATCTTTGTTATGATGACCTGACTTTAATACCAAGGCAATTTGTTATAAATCTGTTATAAACAAAATTGTCACAGACCCATAATTTTTCTTATGACTTTTAAAACCTAAAATATTATTTTAATTAAAAAGTCTCATTAAAAGTGTCAGTACTATCAAATAATTGTATAACAGTATCAATAATATTATTAATGACATGGAGGTCACTTAAAATATTATGACAGTGTTATAAATTTCAGGGAATAATTGTAAAGATCTCATGACACTCATGTTTATGACAGATTTATGACACACAGTGGTGGAAAGAGTACTGAAAAATCATACTCAAGTAAAAATACCATTACTTGCCCAAAACGTAGTGCAAGTAGAGTAAACGTATCTGTTAGCCCTTTTAAAAGTACACAAGAGTAGTGAGTATTACACTGTGAAAAGTTGATGTGTTTACATGCAGTTAGTGCAGGGATGTGTAAATGTAACATTCTGTAGTGTATCTTCCTATATTTGTTCCTTCCTCTCTTTCTTCCTTGCATTGTTTGTTTATTCTGTCCTTCATTCATTCGTTTGTTCGTTCTTTCATTCATTTGTTCCTTTTTCGTTCTTCCCTTCACTCGTTCACATTCTTTTGTTCCTTCATTAGCTTCTTTGTTCATTTATTCCTTCCTTCCTTCCTTCCTTCCTAAGTGTGTTCAGTCCTTCCTTGAATCTTTCCTTTATTCATTTGGTCCTTCCTTTTTTCATTTGATCCTTCTTTCTATTCCTTGTTCAGTCCTTCGTTTATTTGGCCCTTCCTTCCATTCTTCATTCGTTCTATTTAGTGATTGTTTAAGGCTGTCTGGTGATTTCAGTAGCCAAGCAACAAATTAAGTCGACATGTTTCATTTTCTCATCATCGACATCTAGTCTACAAACATATTTCATTGCGTGAAAAGATATTGGACATCTTCTTGGACAGTTTTTAATGCTTCCAAAAGGTTTGATACTTCAACAGACATGTAACTGACTATAAGAAGCTTTGCAAGTACATGTCAACTTACACTAACCCTAACCCCAACCTAACAGTCTACTTATAATTTAATGAGATTTTTGGCATGCAGATGCAATGTAACTTAAATTCAACAAACAGACCATCAAAATAACGTGTGAGGTTTTATGAGAGTCTTATGAACACTTCATTAAAGTTACCACAATTTCTTTATGTGAGTTTGTGAATTTTTCCAGTGCATATTTTGTTGTGAATACACAGCATGCTTTACAAGTGTGGTTATATGTGTTTCTTAATGAAACTTACTCCCTGTCATAGTAGCTTGCAGCAAACTTAACAAATTCACTTTTTTTGTCATTGAGTCATATTGGAAAAGAAAAAGGCTTTTTTTTTGGTTGAGCTTTGCTTGGCAGACTATCTGACAGCTGACTTAATCGTCAGTCATTGTATAAAAGCCCCTCTTCAATCAGGAGAGATGGAGATTTATTTCAGTGCCTTTGAAGCAGTCAAATCTATACATTTGCATTCGCATTTACATAAAAATACACACGATAAACAGCTTTGCAACTGCAGAGGTAACGTCAATGCACACCAGGGAGGTTTGAACCAAATTTCTTTTTTTCTGAGCTTAGTTTATTTAGAGAATATCTGTGCTTTAATGCACGTGGGATGTGGGAAAAGTGTGAGCAGATGTCTCTCTCTCTCTTTTTCTCCCTCCACCTCTCATCAGTGTGGCCGTGTACTGGAGGGGTCTCATGGGAAACGACTGCTCTACGTTTCTCCTTCCCAGTAGCAACTAACCCCATTAGAGTCACACATCATAACACGTAATGACCTGAAAGAACCACTGCAGAAGGCAGCAAAAGGCACGTAAAACCATTGTGTACGTTCAAACACAAGCTGTCAGAAACAAAAAAATAAAACAGAAGTAACCTGAAACAGGCTAATGTTAAATCAGCTGACATAACAGATGTGTAAGGTTACAGCTGAGTTATTAAAGGAATAGTTCAGCCAAACGAGACGTTATTTTGAAGAATGCTGTAATTTAATTTCTGCTGTATGATGTTAGTGTCTAATGGTTACCAACATTCGTCAAATAGCTTCCTTTGTGTTCAACAGGAAAAAAATAAATAAATAAATAAAATATGAATGAATGAATGAATGAATGAATGAATGAATGGCATCTAAAATGCATATGGGTGTAAAATATAGAGTTAGGTTCATAAATATTTGGACATTGACACATATCTAACATTTTTGGCTCTATACACCAACACAATCAATTTTAAATGAAACGAACAAGATATGCTTTATCTTCAGACTGTCAGCTTTCATTTAAGGGGATTTACATCCAAATCAGGTGAACACTATAGGAATTACAACAGTTTGCAAATGTGCCTCCCACTTGTTAAGGTTCCAAAAGTAATTGGACAGGATAATAATCACAAATCAAACTTTAGCTTTTTAACACTCGGTTGCGAATCATTTGCAGTCAATTACAGTCTGAAGTCTGGAACGCATAGACATCACCAGATGCTGAGTTTCATTCCTGGCAGTGCTTCCAGGCCTCTACAGCAATTGTCTTCAGTTCCTGCTTGTTGAGGCATTTTCCCTTCAGTTTTGTCTTTACCAAGTGAAATGCATGCTCAATCAGATTCAGGTCAGGTGATTGACTTGGCCATTGTATGCTTCTTTCCCTTCAAAAAGTAAGCTTTGGGTCATTCTCCATCTGCACTGTGAAGCGCTGTCCAATGAGTTCTGATGTATTTGGCTTAATATGATCCGAAACTATTGCCTGAAACACTTCAAAATTCATCCTGCTGCTTTTGTCAGCAATTACATCATCAATAAATACAAGAGAACCAGTTTCATTGACAGCTATACATGCTTAAGCCATGTCACTGCTACCACTATGCTTCACTGCTATGGATCATGAGACTTTCCTTTCCTTCTCTATACTCTTATCTTTCCATCACTCTGGTACAAGCTTCTTGGAAGCTTGGTGAAGGCTTTTTTAGAACTCTACACTGTTAGACATTTCAAAGGGTTTTTACAGTAACTTACTGGCAACACTGTTGCCAGTAAGTTACTGTATTTTAGATTTACAGTATACAACTGTAAATCCGTTTACAGCATGTTACCGTAGTGTCTGAAAATGGTTAACTACTGTAAAAACCTAAGTTAACAGTTAGCTACTGTAAACCTTTTAATTTTGTCCTAAATATTTTATAATATAATTTTATTAATATTATTTTAATACTATAGACCTAAAAAAGACACAATTACAAAATATTAACAAAATAAACACTCTTTATTTAAAACATTGGAGATGCTTAAAACAAGCTTAAAAATGTGTAAAAACATTACATTTTAATCATTCAAAATATTTTATTTTAAGAAAAAAAACATTGAAAATGACAAAGCACATTAACATACATGTACAAAACTAATTCAAGTGTCTGACCTGCATATTGTTGAGAAGAAAAAACCAATTGTACTAAGTACTACTGACATTAAACCAGACACAATTACAAAATATTCCATTCTTTAAAACATTAATAATGCTTAAAGCATTTAAGGAAAATGTGTGAAAATTACATTAAGCAATAAAATCAACACATTAAAAATAAATAAATCACACAAAGCACTAGAACATACATGTACAATAAAAATTTAAACTTCTGAATTGCATATTGTTGGAAAAATAAATATTTGTAACTATTAGCCGACTCAGAAACAACCCAACTTTAAAATATTACTAGTTCTGGTGTCAAATGCTCAACAAGGTCTGAATTCACATGTTCAAATGCAATTCATCTTTATTTCTATTGCACTTTTACAATGTAGATCAATGATGTCAAAGCAGCTTAACATAGAAGTTCTTATAAATTGAAGCTGCTTCAGTCCAGTTTTCAGAATTGAAGCAGTAAATGTCACTGCTGAAAGTCCAAACACTGAAGAGCAAATCCACCGATCCACCAATCGTAGCCAAGTGATCCAGTGGCGACAGTGGCATGGAACAAACTTTACCAACTGACGAAAGTGTAGAATAAAATCCCTTGAGAGATACCAGGCTCAGTTGGGCACGACCAGTTCTCCTCTAGCCAAACTTGTGCAAGGCCGCAGTCTAGGCACCGGAGGCTTGAA